GCTAAGCGGGGAGGCGGAAAGCTAAACCGGAGCGGGGCGGGGGGGGAAATGATCCCTGCAGGGAACTAAATAAAGGCTCTGAGCACCGCTCCGCTCACTGCACCCAATAACACCGTGCGGCTTAGCCCTCCGCGCTGCTTTAAATAGCTTGTGCCGAGCGCGCGGCCGCGGGGCACGGGCAGCGCGGGGCGGCGGCGCCTCCAGCCCGCGGGGCCCTTGCAGGAGCTCCCGGCATCTCCTCCAGCCCCAGGGCACCCTGAGGTCCCGCCACCCTCCCGGATGCTCCCTGAGGACAGCGGGATGGCTCTGAGTGCCCAACCGAGCCAAGATCCCAGACGCTGGCGACAGTGCTCGCATCCCTGCGAGATCCACCGGCAACTTCCCATCCCCGTCGGCACCGGAGAGGGCAGGAGGGCAGCGTCGGTGGCCACGCTCCGTTGGCCTCCCGAGCGGACACACGCCGCTCCGAACGGGAGAGGAAGCTCCTCCTCCGCCCCCTCTGATTTTCCAATGACAGATCTAGGTCACTGGGACAAGGCGGCCGGCGGCCGGCACGCTCCACGGCACGCCGCTTTCCCGATGCGCCCGGCGAGCGCAGCGCCCAGCATCCCCCCGGGAGAGAGCCCAGAGCGGCCCCCGAGGGAGGAAAAACAGGGAGCAAATCCATCCGGCAGCACCCGGCGGCGCTGGGGCCTTGGGCTCACGCTCCGGAGAAACGCGCGCCGTGAGAAAAGCCGTCCGTTGGGAAAAGTGCCACCATGACCCCCCGGTCCTGCAGCCTGTGGCTGCATCCGGAACACGGCTGAGCTGGGAAAAAGGCAGCGGCGCTCGGCGGGGCGGCACCGCGCGCTCGGGATGAGGGACAGGGACCGCACGGTGACAGCAGGGGGCTCGTCACAGCGACACAGGGGGCACGGCCGCGGTGCTGCGCATCCCTATGGGCACGGACACATATGGAGAGACGCTGGAGCAGATGCCAGGGGCGGGAGGAACACAGGCATCAAAGGAGGGGAATAAAGGACAAAAAAACCCTAATCGCAAAATGTCCTTGTCACCCTCTGAGTGGTTCCAGCAGGGACAGGAGCATCTGCAGCACCAGCACCCCTGCCACTGTCCCCAGGACCCTTCCCACACCTCCCCGTTCCATAAAACAAAATGGGATAAAACCAGGAGCTGCCTTTGATAACGGCTCCCCTGGGAAAATAAATAAGCAAGCAGGTAAATAAATAAATAAGGGAACAAATAAACGGATAAATAAATAAATACACAGAGAAATAAACAAACGAGTGAGGCTGGCGGTGGTTTTGTAGCGGGAGCTGGGGCTGGGGCTGGTGCTCGCTGCCCTGTCCCCGCAGGGAGCAACTTGCTCCCAAAGTGTCCCCGCTCCGTCCGCGGCTCCGCGGCCAGCGCCGGGATGCGGAGGGAGGGAAACGCAGGGAAGGAAAGAAAAACAAAATCAAAGCGCGGCGGGAAGCAACATATTGAGAGGGGGATTAAAGGGGTTTAGGGCGAGGAAAGGCTTAGGGGGTCTAAGCCGGCGGAGACAAATAAACAGCGGCGAGGAGGGGGCAGCGCGCGGGGTCCGGCGCCCCCCGCGTGTCGCGGTGTCGCTGTCGCCGTCCCCCCGCCCGGGACGAGCCCGGCGCTCACCTCGCATCGTGGCCGGCGGCGATCAGCGCCGCGCCGGGGCGCTCATGGGAGCGGG